CTGGAGATGGACTGTTTAACATTTTGGTTCTGTGGCCTTTGTCGCATCTCAGTTTCAAGCCTTGAACATGGTCCCACCTGCTACTCAAAATGACAACTTGAGGTTTTAGTGTCAGACATGCTGGGCCAAGTTGCTGGTTCCATCTCCTCTTGTGAACATTTTAATCCAGGGGATGTTCAATTAATTGCAATCAGAGTAAACGGGGACCACAATCAATCAGGCCGCCTTGTGGAGAAAGAGGAAAGAGATAAGATATCAGAGGTTTAGTGAGGAAGGGGTAAGAAACTTCCAGGGGCTGTTCTCAGATCTGTGTACATTCAGTCCAGTGTCCTGTCCTTTTGACCTTTGCATATTTAGCTCTGAACAATGAGGACTGATATTCATAATGATGACCTTTACATTTTATAAGATTCATCAAAGGAATAGTGAATGGCACTCGCTAGACAGGATTTCCTAGCAGGAACTGTATATACAAATACTACATTTTTGAAGCTTTCTCAAGTACAAGCATTGAGACAAAAAGTTTGCTGCTCAAAACAACAACACATTAACCAGATTCCATGTTCCCTAGTCCCTAGCCTTCCAGTTAATTTAGGTATATTGGACAATGGGTTAAAAAATACCAACAAAATAAGGATTCTAAACGTCACCAGTGACCTTCACCAAATCCAGATTGGCGGTTGTTTCCCTGTCATTCTTCCTGACTTCAACCTTGGCCTCCAGTGATAGAAAACTTTGGGGTCATCTCTTCCTTACCTGATCACTTCTTCCTCTTGGAAGAATCCTCTTCATTTCCCCATTCCCTACTTGTGGGCATTTCCTGCGTTCACTCTTTAGCTCTTTTCTCCCTGTACTAGCTCTTGGGGAACACATCAGTTTCATACCTCTCACTCCTAAATTTATATCCCAGGCCTGAATTCCCCTGGAGCCTACAATCCCGTATTACTAAGTACTTATTGAATTTCTTCCCCTGGATATCTCACATAAAATCAAAACCATCTTATTTTCCTTAATATAGAAAATGCTTTTACAAATTCAGAAGAGAAAAACAAACACCTATTTTTTAAAAAATGGGTAAAGATAAGGACATGCAACTCACATAGATATATGCATATACTTTATGTATACACACACACACACACACATATATATATAGTTGAACAATAAAAATAATAATAATATGCAAATTAAATGATATGCCATTTTTCCGTGATTCAATTCACAATAGCTAAAAAGCCTCAGAAACTCAGCGTTGGTCTGTGTATGCATAAACAGGCACTCTTGTATATTGATGGTGGAGAGAGACATTTGGACTATTCTCTCTTGAGTTTCAGTGTGTACCAAAGTCTTTCAAATGTGTGTGCCCTTGGGCCTAGTGGGCTTTAATTCTAGGAACTTAACTTAGGGAAATAATCAGAGATATGGCAATCTGTAAGAACACGAATTATTGTTTATGTTGCTGAAAACTTGGAAGCACACTAGATGTCTAGCAGTGGGAGACTAGTTAAGGAAATCTGGTCAAGTCCTACAATGGAATGCTATGTGATCAATAAAAGTAATATTTTAGAAGTATACTTAATGTTATGTGCTTGTTTGGCCACTATGCTATACACCTGAAACTAATATAAAATAATGTTGAATGTCAACTGTAATTGAAAAATAAATTTTAAAAAGAAATATACTTAATTACTCAAGAAAACATCCACACTATCTCGAGTGTCAGGTTATTAAGTCAGTTTATGAAAAGGATTGTATAGAATTATCTCTATTTTGTAAAAAACAAAAAGATATACAGACTGGAGGGAAGTCCATTTGAATATTAACAGTGATTATTTCTGGAGAGTAATATGGGTGATTGTGATTGTCTCCTTTATAATTTTCCATGTTCTAAAATATCTACAGTGAACATTGATTGCTTTTATAAAACAAAAACGTGATAAATGTAATTTTTTTTTAGTAGTAGCTTATTTAAAACCAGACTCCAACTTCCCCACTAAACAAACCCCCTTTCCTGTCTTCCCTCTTTCTGGCCATGGTGCCATCAATCCAAGCTCCCAGGCTTAGAATGTTGCAGCCTTAGAGGTCTCATTTCTCCCTCACTCCCTCTGCCCAATCACTCATTGAGTCTCATCCCTTCTTTAGGACATCTCTTGAATTTGTTCTTCCCTCCTGAGTCTCAAGTCAGATCAGTTCACTTCAATAAGCATTTATTGTCACAGTGCCTGGATGCCACTCGGCTAGTTCAACATTATTGGAGTCATGTGCTCATATGTCTTTCTATCCCTACTCTCTCTCCTCCAATCACTTAAGACCCTGCCTCTGGAATGATCTTTCGAAAACGCTCCTTGTATAGCCCTCCCTGCTCAAAACACTCAAAATGCCCTCAAATCTCATGGCCTAGAGAATAGAGCCCTTTCCAGCACTATGCTAGGTGAGAGGGAATAGGTGGGCACATGGGAGGTGCTTGGTAAGTCTGACAATGAAGTAAATCTTTAAGAATAAGGTGTGGTGTTCTCCCCACTGCCCTCCACTGTCTTCAGCTTGAAAATTCCCTTTCCTCGCCTTTTGGCACTTGGACCAGAGGCCTTGGAGCACTTGAAGCTTCATGGTGCTGCATTTGGCGACGGGAAGAGGCATCCAGGGGCGATAAAATATGGCTCAGGAAACCTCAACTCTCAGTTCCTCCCAATTTCTGCTATGTAGGAGGCTCCATCGAGAAAGCATATTGGCTTGTAAGTCTTGTCTCCCTGCAGTGTTGAGGACCAAGAACAAACAGTGGGAAACTTACATCTTTTTGTTTGCTTTGGTAAAAAGAATAAGGAAAAGGAGGCGAGGGGATATGGAAAAGGTTGAATGTAGAACGAGCCCTGAGTGATGTGGGCCCCTCAGGAAACCCAGCTGTCTTCAGGTGTCCCACTGGGACCCAGAATACTCCAACCCGGGCTGAATGATGGCAGATGGTTGTGTTCCAAGAATACTCCAGTGGGAGTGTGTGGGGGGCGAGATGTGTGAGGGTAATGAACTTGCCAGGTGGCAGTCACTGGCACCTAGCCCTGTCTCTCACTCTTGGAGTATCTGATGGCACCAATGGGAGGGGGATCCTAAGCTGGGTGAAGGGGCTATCTGGGAACCAGTTCTGACAATGTCAGCTGCTGTGAGGCTCCCCCCCCAGTGCAGCCCATCCTTCTCAGTGTGAAATTGTACCTTTATGGACCTAATCTTAAAGCAGGTCCAGTCCAGGCTAGGAGCTGCCTGCTAGCAGCCTGGGATGTTGGCGCTGGCCTCCTGGCACTAACCATGTCCTTCTTGGATTACTCTTGGCACCTTTCTGGTTATGGAAATCTTGGTGTTGCCCCACCCAACAGAAACTCTGACTGCTTACCTGGCCCACCCCTCTTGTCTAGCTCAGTGTCTCCAGCTTTCCTTCTCCCCTTTCCCCTCCCTTGCTGCCGTTGGCAGTTAATACATTTTTTTTTAGTACGTGCAGGCCCCTTTTGTCCTTCCCCCTTGCTCCTTGGAAGCCTGCCCCAGTTTGAGGTTCTCCCTGTTTTGTAAAACAATTAACAGTAAGAAGCAAAGGCCCTCTGCTTTCCAGAGCTACAAATGGCTTTGAACCAGAGGAAGCAAGGAGGCAGCTCTCTCTCGCTGGAGTGAGCCGCTGGTGTGCCACGGCGTCCCGCGTGGTATTTGGGGAGTCTGGGTGGAAGGATAACCTCAGTGGAATAAGAACAGCAGCTACTGTTGATGGAATGCTTACCCCACACTCAGAGCTTGAGGAGTATTATCCTCTCTAATCCTCACACCAGTCCTATGAGGTAGTAACCACTAGTTCCCCATGTTGCAGATGGGGACACTGAGAAGTTAAGTAACTTGTCTAAGGTCAGAAGGTGGAGGTAGTGGGACTCTAATTCAGACCTCCCTGAATTCAAAGCTTAGTCTCTTTTTTTTTTTTTTCCACTTAAAAAAATGTTCAATTACAGTTTACATTCAATAGTATTCTGTATTAGTTTCAGATGTACAGTAAAGTGGTTAGAAAATCATGTACTTTACAGAGTGGTTCCCCACTGCTTCAAGTGCCCTTCTGGCTCCATACATAGTTATCATGATATTGCTGACTATATTCCCTATGCTGTAATCTACATTTCTGTGACTATTCTGTAACTTGGTACCAACCTGTGCTGCTTAATCCCTTCACCTTTTTCACCCAGTCTCCCAACCCCCCTCCCACCTGACAGCTGTCGGCCTGTTCTCTGTGTTTATGAGTCTGTTTCTGATTTGTTCATGTATTTTGTTCTTTAGATTCCACATATAAGTGAAATCATATGTTATTTGTCTTTCTCTGACTGGCTTATTTCACTTAGCATAATACCCTCTAGGTCCACCCATGCTGTCTTGAGGTAGGATTTCGTTCTTTTTTATGGCTGAGTAGTATTCCATTGTGTATATGTACCACCGCTCCTTTAACCACTCATCTATGGATGGGCATTTGGGTTGCTTCCATATCTTGTCAAAGCTTAGTCTCTTAACCTCAACATGGTGGCACCATTGTAGATTCCCAAAGTGCCCTAGAGAGAGGAGCCATCGAAATCCCTTTGTAATGTTTCCTGAACATGTATGTACCAGGCATTGTTCTAAGTTTGTTACATGTGTGAGCACATTTGAGTCTCCCAGTCACCTGTAAGATAAGTAATATTATCTCATATGACAGATGGAGGAGGATTCGGAGTCTCCAAGAGGTTATACAGCTTGTAAGTGATTTGAGTTGAGAGTTTACCCAAGTCTGTGAACCTCCGGCGCCAGAGGTCCCATCACCTGGCCCTGCCCTCCCGCCCCTAATAAGACCCTCTGTGGTTTGCTTTGTCTGGAACTCTGGTGATATTCATTATGGAGCCTGGGCGGGTGCTACTTCCTGGCACAGAGATTATTTGAATAGAGAAGTGAAGCCCAGATTGCTTGTAAGCACATTTTCATTTTCTCCCCTTCCTCCCCTTCCAAATTAGGGTGAAGGTTGCCGAACTGTCCCCCTGGCTGGACATGTGGGGTTTGACAGCTTGCCGGACCAGCTGGTGAATAAGTCAGTCAGCCAGGGCTTCTGCTTCAACATCCTGTGTGTGGGTGAGTATTTCCACAGCAGACACTTCTATTACAGAATATGGATGCTTAATGGCTGCATGTGGCTTAGCAGGTAATTAGGTTAAATAGTATGTCATTCTGATCTACTGCAAGAGTGCTTCGCCCCTCTTTCTTCTTTTATCTCTCTGCTTGTTTTTGCAAACACTTGGCTATAATGACATTTTCCCCTGGTCAGATAAGAATATGGGAGTCATACCTTTCAGGAAACTGAGCTGTGTGACACCCAGTGGAAATTTTGCAAGGGATCTGTCTGGCTCAGCTATTGCTGTCAGGTTCGTTTTGACTGTAGAAAACGAGCCAGGGCAGAACTGGGAGGGAGGGAATGGCTGCAGAAAGGTGCCTGCCCACCAGCTGTGGGCAGTGGTTTGGGTCTGTCTGTTTCCTCTGCAGCCCTGCTGTGCTTGGTGCAGGTGGAGCTCAAGTGCAGTGACCACACAGCCGTATTGCAAAGTTCTTTTATTCCCTTTAAGTATACCTCTGCCTGGGCCTTCAGTCTCAAATGTGGGAACCATATCTTAGTCACCTCTGATATGCTAATCACAGCACACAGAGGGTTCAATAATGTCTGTGAAAGGAACGAATGAGTTAACCCCACAGGAACCACTTACTATGCTTCTCAAATACTTTCCCATATTAGCAGTTTGGGTCCTCACTAGGGCTTTGCGAAGTGAGCACAGTGAGTGGCAATCATATCCTCATTGAACAGATGGAGACCCAGAGACATGAGGAGGATAAGGGACTTACTTGAGGCAACACAGAATAAGTGGCAGAGCCATGACAAGGACCCGGGTCTGGCTGACCCTTTGTCCCTCCCTCTACTTCTCTAACTGCTGCTAGCTGCCTGTCTTGAGAACACAAAAGCATTCTAGAAACTCAAGCACCAACCAAATATGAGGAACAGAAGTTCCTTGACATTCTTTAAGAATCTCTCCTTAGACCTTAAAAACTCCCAAATTTGCAAACACGATCATAGCATGTAATTTTCACTATACAGTGCAGTAGAGCATACCTACATATTTTCAATGACCTACCTCCACACCTTAATAATTGTATAATACCACAGTAAAGCCAGTTTTCATGCTGGTTGAAACACCCAAACACTTCTGCTAATTGCCTTTTCTTATTCATGTATAGAGAGTGTGGGAAACTCATTCATGCTGAGGATCATGTTGAGCCATTCCTGAATTGGACATTTTACTCTTTTTATTTTATTTTATTTTATTTTTTAAATTGATTTCAGAGAGAGGAAGGGAGAGGGAGAGAGAGATAGAAACATCAATGGTGAGTCATTGATCTGCTGCCTCCTGCATGCCCCCTACTGGGGGTCGAGCCCTAAACCCAGGCATGCACCCTGACCAGGAATTGAACCTTGACCTCCTGGTTCATGGGTCGGTGCTCAACCACTGAGCCACACTGGCTGGGCAACATTTTACTCTTTAATGTAGTCTAACTGTTTTCTAACTACAGTCATTCATCTTCTTGGGCTCTGTTTTCCTTCTCCTCTGTCCCCAGCACTCTTCCATGTCATTTTCTGTGGAATAACTGCATGCTCAAGGGCAAGTGGAAAACAACGTAGTTACTTCTAAATGTGGATGGCAGGCAGTCAGCTAGGCTCGCTCACTAGCTTAATGACTGACTCCCATGTACTAGCTCTGGAACCAATGAAATGAAATTAAGTGCTTCACGGAATTTCCTATCATGAGCCTTAGAGTCCAGATCTAGGCTGTTAATTCATCAAATGCCAGAAATCCTCCGATGGTTATGATTAGAAGAAGGATACAAAATAAATGGAAGTCATGGTGATTGACATCAAGATGAAATGCTATCGCTTCGAATAGCGGCACTGCCAAATCTCTCCAATCTCTGGCTGATGGCCAACTTATTTTACATAATATTTGATTACGGAATATGTCTGAACAAACATACTAGATTCTCTTGGCATTCCTCCCAGAGCTCTGCGTGACCTATACTGAAGTTGAGGAGATGAGAAGTGAAACGACAGGATCACACCAAGCAACCTTTCAGCCAATTGGGTGGGCTAGTAAAGCTTTAGGTGGCGGG